TTCTATGCAAATGAAGAAAGGACACCTTCATGCATGCACTCTTGTCTCGTCCCCAGTACTCAGACGCTGTCAAGGGTGCTGGGTATATGATGGTCTTCCGAGAGGTGAGAGTCACAGCCTGTCCTCCCTTTATCTTTGCATAAAGTGCGCTAAAGGGAAATGTTTTTAGAATCCAGAACGGTAAAAAAAAATTAAGCCAAGTAGCATAAGAAATTTATGACAGGGTTGGAGACATCTCTGTGGTCAGTGAAGTGACGTGGGACTAGACTAGTCTGGTTCAAATTGGAATAATAACAATTCCAGATGAACATACCAAGACTTTTGTCCTCAGGAGATGATTAGGAACAGGAAGGCATGTAATTGCATATAAAGACCTGAAAGGTGAGAAAATTATAATAGGGAAATGTACATCTTGTTATAGATGCAGTCACACAAGGTAGGATCACACAGGGCCACTGGCACAGTTGTTCCTGTTCTTGGTTTTTGTCATCACTGATGGTAGTATTTGGCCTTCGATGAATACTGACCATCACCAAACACTATACAAAACACTTCATAGCCATTACCTCACTTAACCTTGACAGCCACTGTATAAAATAGCTGTTAATATCAGTCTCACTTTCAAGATGAGGAAGCTGAAGGTCATAGGGATGAACTTGCCAAGATCCACACAGCTAATACATGAGTCCTGCTCAACTTGAGTGCCCAAATTCATTACCGTACTAGACTTTACTGACAATGCAGTCAACCAACCAATCAGATCAATTGTGTTTCCAGTGGCTGACAACTGGTATGTTGCTGCCTGTAAACCACAACTTCGATCCCAAATCTCTCTGAGCTTCTTTCAGGCTAAGCCCTGTCTCACCCACATAATTTTGATTTGAAGCCATAGGACTTTTCCGGTAGCCCCCCGAGCACTACAGGGACAGATAGACTCAATGGATTAGTAGGCACTCTGGGAGGAATTCCCTTTATCCTCTCTTTGCTCATCATTAAGCTTCTCTTTCACATACATGAGTGCTTCA